CAAAAGGCATCATTACATTTTCCCTGTACTGTATGTGTCTTTGCTCGGACGAAAGTAACTCTCTTAAATAGAAGTAATAATAATAAGGTAATAATAACAAATAAAAAAAAAGTTAACTGGATTTTAAATACTTCCAATTTTCTTGAGTAAATTGAGTATTTAGCATCAGGTTATTGAACCTCACACCACATGAAGGCAGCCTTAATCACACCTGTAGTCGTACCAAAGTATTAATGTATTTACTGTGAAAATTGTGAAAGGCGATGTTGAAGTCAGATCTGAAAAACTCTATGAAAGAAAGCCATTGTATGCCCGGGAAATGGACTGGTCTGGGGGTAAACTATGGCGGTAGGTACAAGATGATGAGGAATGCACCACTCACAAGTCCAGACAAAACTCAAAATGTTTGTTACTTAAAGCTGTTTATAAAGAGCTCCTTGTTCGGTTTGTCTTCGATCTAATCACCGTCGTATCTGCTTCGCTGATGCTTGTCTCAAAGCAGCTGCCTCCTGTGAGGACGTAGACTAATGCAAGTACTGTAAATACCACTCACTGAAGGCTCTTAGAGCAGGGGTGTCCAAACCGGTCCAGAAAGGGCTGCTGTGGCTGCAGGTATTCTATCATACCCAAGTAGACTTCAGTCTTAACCTGAAGATTTGAGGCAGTGGGTGAACTCTCTTGAGGAAATGGGTGGAGTCTGCTCTGCTCCTGTTGGGTATGATAGAAAACCTGCAGCCACAGCGGCCCTTTCTGGATCGGTTTGGACACCCCTGCAGAGGACTCTCCCATAATCTGAACAATTAGGGATAGAAGGAGGAGTCTCAAAGGGGGGATATTTTGGGGCTCCCTAGTGGACATCAAAGCCCAGAGTGAGTGGGCTAATATGGCATGTTATAGAACATTTTAAAGCTAAAACTACAATGCTATTTATATTACCATAAACATTGAACCTTAAATGCAACAAGTAATAATTAAAAGTAAACATTTACTCATTTTGCTTTTTGTTTTTTTTCCCCATATACATTTCTCTCTCTTCTGCTAGTGAAAACGTACTTTATTATTTTATTATTAGTGCTAAATAATTAGAAGATGGGCTGTTTTAAATGTAAGGGTACCCTGTTAACACACAAACACACAAACCCTTTAGTATAGCCTTGCCTCACCCAGACTCAAACTTGTTTTGCACTCCACAGATAAATCAAGACTGAGATCATTGGGTTACAGAGACAAACCATACAGGTTTTTCAAAAGAAAAAGACAAGAGCAGATTAGGCTTGTGTGATATTGGAAATAAGAAATAATAATTGGATTTCCCTCAAAGTAATCATTATAATATGACGTCTCTCCTGGAGCAACAGTTCTCCCAATTTTCAGAACTGCAGTGTTTTTAAATTAATGTGCTATATCAATTCATTTTTACAATATGTAATAAGTCTGCCTTATGATCCACCGTAATAAGGGATGCACATACAGTGGGGCAAAAAAGTATTTAGTCAGCTCCCAATTGTACAAGTTCTGCCACTTAAAATAATGACAGAGGTCTGTAATTTTCATCATAGGTACACTTAAACTGTGAGAGACAGAATGTGAATAAAAAGTCCAGGATTTCACATTGTAGGATTTTTAACAAATTTACTGCATATTATGGTGGAAAATAAGTATTTGGTCAATAACAAAAATTCAACTCAATACTTTGTAATATAACCTTTGTTGGCAATAACAGAGGTCAAACGGTTACCATAGGTCTGTCTGGTATTTTGGCCCATTCCTCCATGCATATCTTCTCGAGAGCAGTGATGTTTTGGGGCTGTCGCCGAGCACCACGGACTTTCAACTCCCTCCACAGATTTTCAATGGGGTTGAGGTCTGGAGACTGGCTAGGCCACTCCAGGACTTTCAAATGTTTCTTACGGAGCCACTCCTTCGTTGCTGTTTGGGATCATTGTCATGCTGGAAGACCCAGCCACGTTTCATCTTCAAAGCTCTCACTGATGGAAGGAGGTTTTGGCTCAAAATCTCACGATATATAGCCCCATTTATTCTTTCCTTAACACGGATCAGTCGTCCTGTCCCCTTAGCAGAAAAACAGCCCCAAAGCATGACGTTTCCACCCCCATGCTTCACAGTAGGTATGGTGTTCTTGGGATGCAACTCTTTCTCCAAACGAGTTGAGTTTATACCAAACAGTTCTACTTTGGTTTCATCTGACCACATGACATTCTCCCAATCCTCTGCTGTATCATCCATGTGCTCTCTGGAAAACTTCAGACGGGCCTGGACATGCACTGGCTTCAGCAGGGGGACACGTCTGGCACTGCAGGATTTGTTTCAGGATACACAGGATTTGTTTTGTCCCAGCTCTCTGCAGGTCATTCACCAGGTCCCCCCGTGTGGTTCTGGGATTTTTGATCGACGTTCTCATGATCATTTTGACCCCACGGCATGAGATCTTGCGTGGAGCCCAAGATTGAGGGAGATTATCAGTGGTCTTTTATGTCTTCCATTTTCTGATAATTGCCCCCACAGTTGATTTGTTCATACCAAGCTGCTTGCCTATTGTAGATTCACTCTTCCCAGTCTGGTGCAGGTCTACATTTCTTTTCCTGGTGTCCTTCGACAGCTCTTTGGTCTTGGCCATAGTGGAGTTTGGAGTCTGACTGTTTGAGGCTGTAGACAGGTGTCTTTTATATAGATGACAAGTTCAAACAAGTGCCATTAATACAGGTAACGAGTGGAGGACAGAAGAGCTTCTTAAAGAAGAAGTTACAGGTCTGTGAGAGCCAGAGAACTTCCTTGTTTGAAGTGACCAAATACTTATTTTCCACCATAATTTACAAATAAATTCTTTAAAAATCCTACAATGTGAATTCCTGGATTTTTTCACATTCTGTCTCTCACAGTTGAAGTGTACCTATGATGAAAATTACAGACCTCTGTCATTATTTTAAGTGGGATAACTTGCACAATCGGTGACTGACTTAATACTTTTTGGCCCCACTGTAAGTGGTACGCAGGTACGCATGCGCGACAAATATCAGAAATGCGTACTATCACTTGAGTTAGTAAGCGCCTTTGCTATTTGACCAGTCCTTCTCAAATAGTGGGGCGCTCCTCCCTCGGGGGCGTGGTGCAATGCCAGAGAAGGTGTGGGTGATCTCCGGGCACTTGCTGCTGTTTGTTGTATGTACTCGAACGGGATTCCATATCCTTCGTGGCAGCAGCGTTCTGACTCCAGAGCCACTCCGGCCGCTTTGTAATGACAGCGGGTCCTTGACAGCAACGCGGCGAGCACGTAGCCAAACGTGGTCATAATGTACCCAGCGAGGACCATTCTCTGCTTGCTGCAAGTGTGTGTCTTTGCGTAACGCAAAATAAATAAATACATATTGCCTAACTGCAAGAAACAGAGCTGGACTATGGAACCTTAAGGGAGTGTTCATGTCCTCCCCGTGTCTCTAAATTAAAGCTGTGGTACAAACATTTTCCCTTGCATTAATAATGCATAATAATGTTGGTTGTGTCCAAAAGTAAAATGTTGTGAACAAATCAAACAGAAAGTTGTATTGATTTTTGCATTTTTAAGAAAGAGCCCTGTGAGTCATTATGTGACTTGGATTGAGTGGATTATCTGAGCTGATCTAAACTTTAGCATTAAATAGAAGTATAACATCGAAATTAAGAACCACGCCAGAAATGGAGTGAGTACCAAACACCATGTGCACCCCTGACCAAAATATCAGTTACAACATATGTAGTATTGGCTGGTTGACGGATGAGGACTTCAAGTTTCCTCAGACACAGGAACAACATGCAAACTCTACACAGAGCCAACACATAAAAATCCAATTACAACCATTGTTACTGTCCCTGTGGCCTATCAGTTATATTATAATAACAGTATGACCCATTAATCTACTTTTGAAATCTGTTATGAATTTCTTGTTTTTCGTTCAGGTCCCTGCACACCTCGGCGGAAAGACAAATCATGAATCAAACCAGATGCTGAAGGATGGGGCACAGGAGAAGAGCAGAGATGGAGGGAAAAAAGGAAATGAGTGATAGTTTTAGGTCACAGTGGGACTCAGCATTACGGCTATAATCCAGTCCACCTGTGCTGAGAGGTTACAGGACTTTACCGTTCATGTAGATCCCTGATGTCACACTGGGGACTCTCAAAGGAACATTATCTGATAATTGTGATCTATACTTCATCTCCGCTTGCGTCAGCCAGCACGAGCCGCATTCATTTGACGAGTGCCTTCAAAATTCCACCGAGACTAAACTAGACTGTTCCAAAAAAATATTCTTCCCTCAGCATTGACACACAATTGGAACGAATTGGCTCTTGGGCCAAGAGCTGACTTTTGGACCATCCTGTAAAGCCGTTTTTGAAGGTTAAGAAGATGCTATACAATAACATTGGCTAATTCTTATTCCGGGTCCACCCGCATCAACAATTATGCATTTTTATTACCTTGACTTGGACATACAGCAAAGGATGATTACCTCGAAGATGTTGCTTTTGCTGCAACTTTGCACTGCTGACTTAAGTCGTTTTTTCTGTGGATACAACTCTGGGGCAGCTTGTCCTGCCATCTTCAATTTACCGGTGAGTCTGCACTGCTCCATGTGTGCACGTTGCACTCGCACAAGAGTTTCCTGTACTAGCGGTAAACTAAAAATATTTATGGTTAACCCGCTTTTATAACTATAACAACAGGATAACAATATCTGAAAAAAAATCTATGGTATAATGTATTAAGGTGTCGCTTTTAGCCTCAATTTAAATATGGACAGGATAGAGGAGGATTATGTTTCATGTGTACGCTTTTTCAAATGGAGCTTGAAATTGTAATTTCAATGAATTTTTTCAAACATACAATCAAAAATTGCATTGCAGTTGCGCTGTTGGTCAGAAACTACCACCACACACATCGTTTTCCCTTAGACCTATTCGTCATCATTATTACTGTATTTCCCAGTATCACTTGTAGACGTACCTGTATGTTGGGGTTTTGAGAGCTCATGTCTGCATTGGCCAGTTCGGGGAAGTTCCTGATGTCCAGAATGAATGGAGCTGGATCCTTGTGAGGGTCTGGCTGAGGCAGCAGTCCCGGATGAGGCCAGCGCTGACGAGATAGGGGGGACACGGGGGACGAGGGGAGGGTCTGCAGAAGGTTCTCCTCAATCAGCTCCTGAAGACTCTGAGGGTCGTCTGTGTGATCCGAGCTCTGAGGAAAACAAGACACAGATTAATTCAACAAGACTCTCTGTAGGCTATTGTCAACTGAAGACATACTTGGGCAACATAAGAAATACCTAGTATGATGGGTATATTTTGGGCCATTATGGACCAATGGCTCCATAACAAACCAATGCATTTGTTATTATTACATTTCCTGTGTTCAAACTGTAAAGTCCTCCAGGACAACTGCTTTTGTGATTTAAAGTAAATTGAACACCTTCTCCCCATTACCGGAGTTCCTCAAAGATGTGTGCTTTGAGACTCGTTTATCTGGTGACTCTTTATTCTCCTTTCATTGCTGAAATTGTAAACGGAATTACTCAAATTTATAGCAGTATTTTTATTTGAGCAGTTTTACAATGTATTTTATATATTATATACACTCTTTTAAATGCACATATAATTCAAGAAAGAAAAAAAAGGAGAAGGCAGAAGCAAAAATCCTTTAAGAGCCTTCCCCATTATCAATAATTAATTTAAGCGGCTGCAAAAAGATTTACATTTTCACATGACATTCCTGATTTTTACCATCACCATTTGTATCTTGTTGATGCAAACAAAAAACAGAAATACTTATCAATTTATGCTCCATATTTCATCACAATAATAAATGCAATCTTTACTGTTTTTATAACGTGTGGTACCCTAAATCTCAATTTTCAGTGCAGCTGGAGAATACACAATAGAAACTACCAAACCAGATTTTTTGTCGAGATAATTTCTCAAACTGACCTCAGAATGGAGTTTTGGTGATTTTGGTGGAATCAAGAATATAAGTGACTGTGAGAGAGAAAAAGAACATAATAACACATATACATTCATATATATACACACATACATAGACATAAACATAAATATGCATAAATGAACTTACTGTACATACACATAGAACAAGTTTTTTTCCAAAAGAGCAGCATTCTAAAGTTTTATAATCAATTACAATTGCTTTATACTTTTTTTTTAACACTTTTATAATGTAGTTACCTTTAACTGGTTATAGAGTTTGTTCCATAAATCTACTCCTCTAAATGAGATACAGTGGTTTTTAATGTTGGTCCTGGTCTTGGGTTTTTGGTATAAATCCTTCCCTCTCTCAATGTAAATCTCTCCTGAATACAATTTGGAACCATATGATGAATAATTTGTTTTACTGTGTCTGGACAAGAGAAAAGGGCAGAAAGACTACCAAAAGGAGTAATATAGTCAAAAGGAAAACAAAAAAACAGAACACAGGATTCCATTATCAATTTTTTTTTCCCATTATTTGTTCTCCAAGAGACAAGGGAAACAAAAGTCCTCCATCCGTTCTTTTCACAAACTTCCTATTTACCCTATGAGTAGACAGCATTTTCATTTGAATTGATCAAGGTCTCTTAATTCTCTTACCACAAGAACTTTAGATTCCTCTAGGGACGATCCATTGAGTTGGATGAAAAACTTGCAGTTCCTCGTCCAAGTTGATTTAATCTTGTTCTTTCGTAGGATGCAGGCTATCTCAGCATTTCTCTTTGTGAGATGTTCATTCACATAAACTGTCGACCCTTTTGTCTTCTTTCCTTGATGTAATAGCTCTTTTTTGAACCGTCTGTTTACAAATCGCTATATAATTGTTGGCTTGTTCCTTTCTTTGCTGGGCAGTGTGTGATATGCAGCAATATTCTTCACATCCAGATGTATGTCTTTTTCAGCAAAAAAAGAGGTACTAGCACTTGTCCCTCCAGTGACTGTAAATCAGCAGGTTCAGCATCTTCACTTACAGTTCTCCCCTCCAGGAGAAATGTAAATATAGGAGCGAGGTTTTCACACTCAGGCCACTGATAATAACATCCTCCATCCTCCATCGCGAATATTGTTCCAAATGATCAATCTTCTTCTCAAGATCTTTGATTTTTGTATCCTTTTTCTGTATTATTTCTTTGAGTTGATTTACCTCCTCCACAAGTTGCAGCAGCAGTGTTAGCTGTTGAGTAACTTTAGCTCTCCAGACTACATGTTCATTGACTTGCGGATGTCTTCAATGTCACTCTCCATCTGTGTTGTATTCTTTGGTGGCATTGCCCACCTTTTGTTTTATTCTTACTTGACTTAATAAGCAAAAGAATATACTTTTTCTTTCATACAATTATCAGCCAGAACACAGGGTGCAGCAATCTTAGTTTGGGCATAGAATTATATACAATCCATTTATTTTTTCCCGCATGTTGTCTTGGGGAACAAAATTGTAAAACTAAAAACAAGGAGAATATTGTGGATCCCTGAAAACATGGACAGCGCTACCACAGACCAGTTTACAGCACTGAGGTGGTGAAGAAGGGAATTGACTCTTGGGAATTGAATTCTTTGGGATACCGTGACCTAGCTGGGTTTGAAAGATGATTCCGAAGGGTTTGTTACTATTTCTACATATATATCCCTCCAATGTCTTTGATACAAACTTCTATCTTTAAGTATAATAAGATTTTTAAAACATTAACATTAAAATGTATTTACCATGTTTTGATCACTGTATAAAATTGAAACCACTGGCCTATTTCAAGGGTCCCAGCCTGAAAAGTTTTTACTCTATCTGAGGAGTGTGACCAAAGCACTGGTGACCTTTCTTAATGTGTCATCAGCTGTGTTTGGACGTATGGACTTGTCGTGTGGTTCTCTAGCAGCAGACACTTCAGTGAGAGAAGAGAGAAGCACTGGAACCAGAGACCAGCAGCATCTACACCACTGTCACAGGCGGTACCTCCTGCTTCCTTTTCACCTGCTGTCCCCGTTCCACCTGCTGTCCCAGTTCCACCTGCTGTCCCAGTTCCACCTGCTGTCCCCGTTCCACCTGCTGTCCCAGTTCCACCTGCTGTCCCAGTTCCACCTGCTGTCCCAGTTCCACCTGCTGTCCCAGTTCCACCTGCTGTCCCAGTTTCACCTGCTGTCCCAGTTCCACCTGCTGTCCCAGTTCCACCTGCTGTCCCAGTTCCACCTGCTGCCCTCAGACAGAAGTACAGCTTGACCCTCTCCCCTGAGCAATGACCCAACTCAGCGATGGTTCAGATTTAATATGTTTTAACTTTGTGTAAGGCAAGGCAAGGCAAGTTTATTTATATAGCACAATTCATACACAAGGCAATTCAAAGTGCTGAACAAAATAAGAAAGCATTAAAATCATAAATAATCACAGAACATTCAAAAGAAAGATAAAAATATAAAACTCCTCAGTTGTATGCACAGCTAAACAGAACTGTCTTTAACCTGGCTTTAAACATTGTCATTGAGGAGGCCTGTCTCACATCTTCACATCGTAAAGGTTTAAGAAAATGTATGAGAACAGATTAATTGACTCTAATAGTAATGAACAATGTTGTTAGTATGTAGAAACATATTACTGTTTACTATGGGTTTTGGTGACTGGGAAAGAGGTAGGGGGTTAAAGTGAAGAGAAAAAGGTAGAAAAAGGGTCTTGCAGGGTGTATATGACTGTATCCTGCTTCCCGTTTACTTTGTTCATGATGATATAGTTGTTTAAACTAAGAAAAAAATATAACCAGCATGAATAATAACAAAAAAAAACTAAATTTATTTTATTTATTTATTAGATAGCTCAGGGGTACCTCAAGGATATTCATTATTTTCTTTTCTCATTTCATAATGTGCAATGCTGACTAAGAAAGCCACAAATTGTATCAACTTCTGCGTTTAACTAGCCTGGTTTTACCATACCCTCGTACTTGTTTAGGGAAAAAAAGATTTGACCGGAGTTTACGGATGGCAAAGGCCAGGCTAGCGTTTAACTAGTAGCAGTACATAAAACAGCTGACAAGAAATGTAACAGGAACGTGAGCACTCTGAGGAAGCCTGCGCACCAACCCACTCAAAAAACCCACTCTGGTCTTAAAAAATAATCAACTAATACCCAAGAGTGACAAGGGGATAGAACCAACCATAGCAAAGTCTCAAATGACGCAGATTATTAATGTATTTTGACTTTCTTGACGTGTCAAAGTAATACTATCATGCAAAACATCTGTCGTTCCTAAAAGTCCAGTTATATTTTACAGTAAGCGGACAGTTTCGAGCTCAAGGTAAAGAAAATATGTTGAACAATTACATCTAAGTGTTCAGGAACTGAGTCAACTGATCAATTCAAATATTATTGGAGTGAAAATGGGTTTCTGTAAAAGCTTAAATTGCTCTTTTTTCAAGGATCTAACAGGGCCCAGATGGAACCACTCTTCGGTTAAGTGCAGCTGTTCCAAACTGTAACAGAGAATAATCTATGCATCTCTATCGACTGAACTATCACCTGTTTGTACACAAACGTTTTCAACCAACTCCATTAACAAATCCAAGAGAACTTTTCTACCCTTTGTTCCATGGTGGCGCCGTTGGGACCGACTTTGACATGGTCTGGGCACGTTCTGGGAAAGCCAGTGGTCTTTCCACCCTCATGGTGGAGATGAGAGTTATTTTGTGTACACATTTTCTTTTCTAACTCTGTGATATGTGCAGTCAAAAATAACTTTCACTTTATTGGCAGAGCTCAGGGTTTCAGTATCTTGAGCTGGAAGGGATAAAGGCAGAGTTACCAGCCAACTGTGTATGCACTGTGTAGATGGAGGAAACCAGAACAGAGATTACACGCAAACTGCACATAAACAAGCAATCGGAGAGGGAACAAATTTATCACCATCACTTCAATGGCTCCACTATGTCCATTATGTATCACACATCCACACACGCATAATGACCGTATGGGCCTGGATTCAAGGCACATTTATAGACCACAAGTGATGACTGCATGTCTGACGAAACAATTGTTACTCAAGACGTTTAAATTTAGACCAGTCGGAGTCCAGTCTTTGAGCTGGAGTTAGTTGTAAGGAACAGAGCTTAATTAGAATGAGTCAAACAGTTTTATATGCAACTCAAGATGACCAGCTGTGCAGTCTCAGTCCAGTTTAAATATGGACCGGCTTCATGAAAACTTCAAAACAAACGTTGGCAAGAAAGTAGCACTGTCTAACTTTGTTGGGGTTTGCAGCCTGTCTTTAGTCTTTGATTTTTTTGAAACTATGTTTCAAGAATGTACAGCTTGTAATGGCCAGACAAGGCAAGTTTATTTGTAGAGCACAGTGACTTGGACGTAGCTTTTAATAACTGTTGCTCTCTTGTTTATGGCTGTAATATCGACATGCCCTAAGACTACAGTTTGAAACTATAGCCTTCTGGCTAAATATGGTCTTTTTATATGATCACATGTTGACGTGCACAGCCCCAATTAATTCAAAGAAAAAAAAGACATTCCCATGATAACCAGCAATAAAAGATTACATGTGAAGCCAAAAGGGCCTGATATTGACCCACCGCGATACAAGGAGAACACACAGTACATTTGCCTTTGCACTGGATGGGGAGGTGGTTTTGTGTGCGGATCTCGGCACAGATCAAACATCGGCGCAGCTCGAGCAGTGTAAAATATTCACGCCAGCACTGTGTGAGAGGACACTTTGCATGATCCAAATTCATACAGCGCAGAAACACGATCGAGTTTCTTCATTTAAAACCCACAGAGGAAAAAGAATCTCACACTTACACGATACACCCATATAACACACATTCTGAGACACAGATTACTGGATTCGGTTTCATCTTTACCTCAGCTGATGAACACAATGTTTTAGAACTGTCTGGTTTACTTCATTACAAAGTCCACTGTACAAAAATCACGACTTTGAGAATATTTACTTATATTTCAGGTTATAGATTGTGCAATCATTTCCTGAAGATGGGGAACTGATTTCACACTCACAGACTCACTTCTGAGCAGTATGGCCACCACATGATGTATTTATAATAATTTAACACAACCACTGTTTTGCCTAAATGTTTTTTTGGATGAGTACTTTTTGAAAAAATTGAGGAATACTTGTGGGTGGGTGTGCCATAAAACTTATTATTTTGCATCAAAAACACTTTCTCATAACTTTTTGTTGCTGTTTTATAACATGCAAGAAACTGGACATGTTTGAGGAGACACAAAAGTTAAACTAAATAGTGTTACAATCACTTTTCTGCGTGGTTCGTCTGTTTTCACAAACAAACTGAGTTAAAAAGAGATTAAAGATAAACATTGGTCAAAAAGGCTGGGGTACTTAAATAATATCATACTTTTAAGACTTGCTATGTATCTCATTGGCTGAGCAAGTGTGGTCCTCTCTTTCACAGTTTTTTAGCGATCTAAAGACGTGACACAGCATGAGAAAAATTTGGTTTTTCTTACATACAGTAGTTCCATTTTGGCTATCCCAGTTAGAAAAAAGACCAAAAATCTTAAGACAGCAAGATAAATATTCCGTATTACAGTTCTTCAAACAAGTAAAATCATAAAGGCCTGTTAATTTTGCAGTGTAGCGAGAACTCCAACTAATTCTGGCTGAAGAATTTGACGCCTTCCACAAAATATGCCATCGGCCTCCTGCTCCGCTCTCCTGGGACGCCGTGAAAGGGAGGACTGTCCATGAAGAACTTTTGGCTAACGTGCGCCTGTCCCCCCCTTATGTCAGCGAATTACCACTAAACGAAGCCAAACCTCTCCTCTGTGTATTTATATTTATACATGTATGTATGTCCACATTCACAGGCCGCAGTTTGGATAAGCAAAGTGTCTGTTTGTGTGTAAAAAGACGTTTGGTGAAAGCCAAATTTCAAGGCTTCCACTGAAAGACTGGGACTCCTGCACTTGGTTTAATATAACAGAGCAAGGCCACAGAAAACTTGTGTTTTTATATCAAGTTCATAGTGAGGGCTTGTATTATATCCACCACAATCACCGCACTGTAAGAAGTCTATTAATTTTAGTAGAATATTACTTAAATGTACATGATTATAGATTTTTTTCTTGATTTGACATGTCTCAATTAGGTTTATATCATGGTGAGGAATTCAATGCATCGAATGCATTGTTTTGTTATTTGAGTTGTTCCTTCCAGGGTCTAAGGATATGATAATCCAAGACTACTAACATTAATGGACATTGATCATCCTGCACCTAGGGCTGGGCAATGTGACAACAACAAAATCTTTCACATTTCACACCAAGTCCGATTTTCGATTATAATGGATTCTTTTTTTCAATATTTTTTTTTTTTTTACAACTGACAAAGGAATTGATTCTCCTTTATGCAGTTTAATCTACATTTCCACAGGAAATAAGCCTTAAAACATGCTTATAAACAGTGAAAATGTAGCTTATCAGTTTTCTAATAACTTCACTTACCTCAATGCATCTTCAAAATAACTTAAAATGCACAAACGAGGGCCATAGCAAAGATATCAATCGTATTAAACACATGCATTATTTACCTGAAATATCAAATTTTTTAAAACTAATGATAACTCTAAATACAATTGTTTTAACAGAGAAAGTCTGTTACAAAGCCTCCTCCTTGGGTTTTCATTATAACTTAATTAAGGCACAATCACATACTGTAGGCTTTTACAAATGAACTAGGCCAAGTGGCCCGGATCGTTGCCACATCGGTGTAAAGACGGCCCGCGGTCACAAGGACTTGTTCTTTCAACCGTGCCAGAGCAACTGTGCTGTAGAAACTAGCTGGTCGGTCCAGCTAATACTAACTTCAGCGACTATCTTGTTGTGCGAGTTAAGTTTCCGTTTCTCTTCCTGTTTCCATTCTGCTACTGTAGCGCTAACAGCAAGAGTATGGATTGCGTTGTTTGTAATGTGAACAAGTGTGAGACGTGGCTTTCCCCAAAGTGCAGCGGCTCAGTGGGAAACAAGTGTGTGTGCGTGTGCGCGGCGCCGACACGGGAGTGCGCATTGGAGTAACGAGAGTGAGCACTGAAAAATTTATGAATGAGAATGAAAAGTGTGGCGTACGAGCAGAGTGAACGGAGCCAGGCAGGATACATGTGTGTTGATGTGTTTTGGCGATTAAATAAAGTCTGATTCTTGAACGTCTGAAGCGTTATTGCAACAGCACCACACTTTGACAG